GCAGTAGCAGTTGCAGTCAGTAGCAGTAGTAGTCGTAATAGCTACTGATAACAAATTGCGAATATAACATCAATATTGGCAATGCAGTAACAATAAAAAGAATAACGATAATTACAATACAATACTAATCTATTTAAAAAATAATGGTGATACGTGTTGTTTGCAGCAGCAGCAGCAGCAGGAGGAGGAGTAGCAGCAGAAGGACAGATTGGGTTTCAAGCTCCGATTGAGATTAAGGCCTGGGAGAATTATTTGAACCACCTGATGCACAAGACTGTTATGTGGTCGTATCACATTCTGTCAAAATGCTTCTCTCGACGAAAAGCTTCCAACCCGAGTCTGTCAAACTCAGCCAGAAGGAACACAACGGCCAGCTTTGGCTCCCATGCGTCACCGCTGCGGGTCGCCTCTAGCACCATGCGTTCCGCTTCCAGCTGCTTCTTGGGTGGATCCGGTGGCGTCGGTAACAGAGGCATCCTTCCAGAATCGCGACGGCTTGGTGACCTGGAATGCGGATTACAGCATTGAAGATCCTGAGATTTGAAGGGGAGCTGCAAACACGTCAGAGCCAATTAGAGGTAGCACCGGCAGCCCAAGCCTGTCGGATATTCGTGGTACTACCTTGTTGCCTGCTTCTGCAGCTCCGGGACTACGTTCTGCGCCGATGTTGGCTGGGGACACGGGTCAACGGTCAATGATTTTGCGAGCGGGGCACCGTGCCCTGATTGCAGGCGGCCCGGCAGGTGATGCAGGCCTCAAACTGCCCACTGCCTGCTTGCTGCAGAGGTATGTGCGCGAGCTGGGGTGACGTGGGCTGAATGAAGGTTTTCACCCTGTTCGCCTGCTCGTTTTCCTCCATGTCCTCATCCTCCTCCTCGAAAGGTGGAGTGGCACTGGCACTGTCCTCCTCGCTGTTTCGGAGCGGGCGTGCTTGCTCGTCCTGGCAGGAACAGAATAACAGAAACAGGCAGTTGTGATTGTGTCAGCACTACTCATATCCAAATTTCTTCATGGTCAGCAAGCACGCAACCAAAAATACAGTCGCGCATGACTTTGGCCTTCACATTTCGAGGTGTGACGCGACCGTCCAGCGGAGGAGTATCCTTCGAAAGTGCACCACATGCCTTGTGAAGTTGCTGCCACAATGTCATGAAGCGCAACGCGGGACGCGAACCTGACTCGGTGGTCTTCCCAGCCTACATTGCCCGACATCTGCCCTTCACATCTGCAGAATTCTGGTCCGTGGCAAACGTCCTCTCCGCTGAGATTGTCTTCGGTCTTGCTCGCTTTGAACGTGGGTGCAGGCGGCGGCGGCGGAGGCGGTGGAGGCGGCGCCACGTCTTCCTCCTGAGCGCCAGGAACCGCATTTGTGCGATAGTTTCTGCATCCCGTGTGTGCATGGCGTGATTCAGTGATGTTCCTCCGCACGTTTATCTGCATACTCATAGATTTGCAAGGTAATTGGCTCCGGGTACTTCATCTGGTAGCCAGTACTTCTGTACGCATGCATGCATACTTGGTTCTGTTATTTCATCTTTAGTGACCGCACCCGGCAAGTCTTGTGCAGGTTCCTTTACGCTTGGCTTGTGGCCACACAATGCCTTCATTCAATGAGGGCGTGAGATGGTGCGAGTACACACATACACGAGTAACGCATGGCATATTATTCATCCAGGGACATACATGTCTCGATGTGCTCCTATCCATCCATCTCAGCAGTTTTTCGTGATATGCACTACTGAGGATTCAGGGCTTGTACCCGTAGCAGTCGGAAGATTGAACCGAATGTTGGCTGAGGCATCGCCAGCCCTGGCCTGGCATGCCCATGTCCGTCGGTCCATCAGATTCTGGTCTGCATGGACTTTGCAGAGTATCAACGCCCAGTTCCACGTCAAACGATTCAACTAGTCCTGTTTCCGATTTTGCTTCGGACTCCGATCTCTCCACCACCAAGGACGCCCACCATCCTGAGTGGTGGGTCCAGAATTCGGTACGAGAAATCTCCGGAGCCGTGGTGTCCCCAAGTTCTGGTTCAGCAAAGAGACTCGCGGATGAGGCCCCCGACTTCTTTCACGATCCTTAGGTGCAGTATGACAACTCTGTATGACAACTCTGCTGACCACACCTTCGATCCACCTTCCAGGAATGAGCCAGGCGGCGCCAGGGCCCCAGGTGGAGTTGCTTCTCTGTCGGTCCTCCGAAAAACTCTGAAGTTCATCCCCAATGCTGGATATGGAAATGGCAGAGAGCACATTGCACCAACCTCCTGCGATTCCTGGTGGCGCCGGGCATCACGCTGGCGCAGGAACCACGGCACCTCCGATGAGGTCTGCGCTGGGGGTGCCTGAAAGGCAGCGGTCTGACGATGTACTTTGATTCTCATTCAGCAGGTCTGTGAACCTCACGAGAAGGTCACCCAAGGCCGCCAAGCCACGCGGCGCCGGCTCTCGTTGTCGGACCCTGGCTCCTCCTCTCAAGTGCAGTGCGTCGTTAGAAAGCAGCAGTTCGCATTGTGAGAAAGGCGTCCTTGCAGTGAGACCAAGTTGCCTCGCGCCCTGCATTGCGAAGCGAAACTGCGAAACACTGTGAAAAATGAAGATACGTTGCCTCGCTTCTGGCGCCATACTGGGGTTGGCGATTCCGAACTTTCATCGCGTCGGCCTCGCCAAGCGAAAGCAAAGAACAGACAAACCATGCAGCGGCACGCGTGCATGCCTGCAGCAAGGCCCCTGCTACTGCAATAAACGTGCAGCCTCGCCAGCTCATGGCCCATGGGTGCTAGCTTGGAATTGGTGCCGAGATTGGACATCCGGCAACCACCATTATTCCAGCAATGCTCAAGATGTTTGGTTGGGTTGGTTCTGCTGCAGGTGGAGTTTGCTCAGGCGGCATGTTATGTGGTGTCTGCAAGGCAGGCCACAAGCGGCTTGAAGCTCCACCTTGACTTGAAGTTAATTGAAGCCCCTCAGACAACTCATGTCCAGCTAGCTGATGCTCCGCTTCTGTCTAAGCTGTCTTTTGGCAGTGCAGGCTATCTTGCCGAGATGCTGGTGCGAGACAAAATCCAAAAACAGTCGAGCAAAACGACAAAACATCATGAAGCTCTCAGCACAAAAGCGAACAGCTGCAGTGCGGGCAATCCTCAGTTCCTTGAGCTCAGCCCGAGCTCGGCATGAGGCGCAGGCTGCACATCCCGTTCGACCAGAGCCGAGATGAGTCCTAGGTCTTCGGTCGTCTTCAGGCCATCATGCTGTGCAGGCTGAGGCGTGTTGGAGGCAGAGACTGTCGAAAGAAAGACTGAGAGCTTGTCGGCAGCCATCTGCACAGACAGGCACGCTGGAGGAATGCACAGTCTCATGTACGACATCCCCACCCACCCCACCGTTCATTGCTCGACACTCGCTCTGTTGCAGCCCCTCCCTCACCCACAACCGCAGCCCTCAGAGACAGAGCTGCTTTCTTCCGCGCCTTCTGAAAAATCACCTCAGTGGCCGAGAAACTAGAAAATGTGATTTCCTGTTGATCGCAACTGTATACCAGTCTAGTCGGATAGCATGTCCAGACCTGGCGATCTCCGGTGATAGTGATTCCAAAAAGAAGTCTTTCACTGTATTGCACGCAGGTGGCAGAAATGCCTGTCCGAGAAAGAGAGCCGGTTGTTCAGCACTTCCTTCTCTTCCTGAGAGCACTCGACACGAGCACTGACGAGAACACTTATGCCCACGAAGTTCCTGAAAGAACTCGACCTACGTCGGTCTACGAATGCGCAAATGCCAAGCTGCGTGGAACGGAAGAAAACCGCAGATGAGATGGTAAAATATAATGCCGCAACCTTGGTTTGTGAGCCTTAAGCAGCATCTAGAAGTGCAGCATATTTTCGGGACCACTGAGGCGCGAGCTCCAGCAGTCGCAAGCGTGAGTGTACTTGTCTGGGCCTGAGCGGCTCCAAAGGATCCCAAACAGATCGCAGCAGATGGCTCATAGGGCCACGGCTTTTCAAAACCTCCGGTCCAATGTGCGAGACGGATCCCATTCTGCCGCTCAAAAAACCGCCTCAGCATCTGTGCCCAAGGAGTGCTGGCAAAGTTTGGCAACATGTGGCGAAGTGGTGAAACTCCAGTCAAGAGGCCTGGTTCGAACTTGCAGGACCTGGGCCACGCTTAACAGCTGGGACCTTCGCAATCCTTCTCGGCTCCCTGTAAGGCTGTTGACCCGGCTAGGATTTGTTCAAAGCGGAAGGTGACTGGACTTCATGCAAAGCATGAACGATGAATCTGCAGTATCGCCAGCTTACAAAATCTGTGAGACGGATCGGTTTCGGCGTCACGTTTCCGCTGCTTCTGTTTTTGCCAGGGACAGGAGGCTTGGAGTCCTCAAGCACGGTGGCCGAAAAGCCGAGCAGCCAACAAGAACGTTGTTCTGATCGAATTGATACACAAGGTCATGAGCATGCGAGTGGACCCCATCGGAAATTCAACTCATGGGCCTCTTGAAAGAGCAAATTGAGTAGAAAAGTTGCTTTCAAGGCACAAGCCGAAGTCACAGATCTTGAGGCGATTCCTTGAAATCACTGTCTTCGGGTGAACGGTGCAAGAGGTCATCGTGGTCTGCAGACCTCTACTCCTGATGCAAGCCGGACGCCTTTCAGGAGGGCCCTGGTTCAACATCAGGCAGTTCTCGCCCTTCAGATCACCTCGTGAAGCGTAAGCGTTAAATGATCTCAGCAGCACATGCGTGTGCACTGTGGAGGGAGGCTGAGCTTCCATGTAACACTCGCAGCCCTTTAAAAGGTTTACGCTGTGCGACCAAGTCTCGGTGACAAACCTAGCAGAGAAAGAACAGCACAGCAATAGCAAAGGCTCGCAACGACAAGCAGAGCAAGAACCGCGAATCGCACCTGGGAATTGTGCATGTACGCCACGGCTCGGAGCAAGTCTCGCATCACGAAAGAGGCCCTTGGGATCGCTGCCACATACGGGAGGCCGCATCGCCGATGCACAAGCAGTAACTCGCGCAAGACAAGTCCAAGTTGCTGCTTCTCACTCAGGCTGGCAACCCGCTCGACATACTGTGTTAGGTGAGGTCCTGCAAACGCCCAATCTGAACTCATGTGCCGCCTATGCCTTTGGCCTTTGGCATCGCAACGGCACGCTCCTTTGCAGAGCTTCATGGCCTCGGTGGCTGTGAGATGTCGAGGGACATGGTGCTTCGCGTCCAGGCTTCTAATGGCGGAAACGCAACATATCGCCGGTAAGTAAGTCTGCCAGACCTGGTTGCTTGCCAGGCTGCCAGGATGATAGTCTCGCTGTTTTCAAAAATTTCCTGAGGGCCGCAAAACAATCGTTCAATACAGGAAACTGCTAATCTTTACGTCGTCCCCGGCCGAAACAGTCTCCTCTCCTCTGAATCCCTTCCCCAAAACCAATGGATTTCGGGTGTGCGGTGTGCTCCCTGCCCACTCCCCCCCACAGCCCCCTGCCCGAAGACCCCGCCCTTTCCAACTCTGTCTTCATTCCTTCCTTCCTTCTCCACCCTTTTTGTGCTTCTGCAGCCGACTGCCGGGCAGAGCTGAACGATGCGAAGGCTTGATAGGGCGTGAATGTCAGCTCATCAAACTCCATGAAGGCATATGGCAATGAGAAAGCCAGGCTGCGCAGATGGTAATCAGGTTTGGGTGGTCCAGCACTTTCATGATTTCCTCACAGACAAGCTCCCCTGGCTTGCCAAAGCCGGGGGGGCACGAAGCACTGCAGCTCACTCGGGTTGGTCCATTGGTTGCGCCCAAAAACGCCTAGGGCCGCTGCCATCTCTGCACGAAGTGCTGTCAGAAAGGAACGCTGCGCCTGTTGGGCTAGCATCGACAGCCCCCGAACCAAAGAATCGAAGCGGGACAGCATGCAGTCCGATGCTGTCCTTCTTTTCCACGGTCTTGACCTGTCAGCTCGCGTTTTGTGGACCACTCAGACTCGGAGAAAGCAACAATCTCAGCACTCCGCGGCGCGCTCTGCACCGTTGGCAGTGATTACCGCAGCACCTGGGCTTCGCACGGTGTGCAACTATACGCCGAGAAGCAAAGCCATCAACTGGTCTGTGCCGCCAAGTGCTGGCCAGCGTCTGACAGTCCCGAACTGTCCAGCTCCAACCTTCTCCTGGACGCTGGACAAAATCGCCAACAGCTTGACGGTCGCACATCCGATGGAACCGTGGCAGGTCCTTGACGGTATAGAAAGCCTTGCACGGACGGACATGCTGTCGCGATTTAATCACGGCTAGGTATTGGCGGTATGCATGCGAGGGCGAGCCTCGAAATCACCAGGATTCTCGATGACAGCACAAAGTGCATTCGTCAGCACGTTCGCGCTGCTCTGCAGAAAAAAATCTCGCCTGACAAATTTGGACAAAATGAAATCGTGCAGGCGGCCATGGCATGGTGCACCTGTTCCATGCAGACTCCTTAGAAGTCGTGGACTTTGGCTCGTCATCTTCTTCTTTCTTGACCGCTTTGTCACTGTTCCTCTTGTCATCCTCATCCGCAAAGGCCTTTCTGACCAGCAGCGAGGCAGCCAGTACTACGTGCTACTGGAGACACCGGCACCTCTGCACGAGTGTCGTTCAGGATAGGCTGGGCGTTCGCAAAGTGGATCTCACGTATCGCCTGCCACTGTGACATGCCAAGGCCTGCGGAGTCCAGAGCGTAGAGTTTGCAGTGCCTCGTCGTTATCCTGTTTGACGGTATCGGCATTCTCTTTCAGGTCCTCGCGATGTTCAGTTTTACTTGCCTCCAAGCCTAGCCTATTCAGCCGCTGTGCCTTCTGCTTCAGCTCTAGGTCTTCAGCTGCGCAGCTGCAATTGACACCCATCAACAAGCCTCGCAAGCCAAGGCGAGACAAGAACACAGCGCTGTGGCAATTCAATCTGCACAAGGCGAGCCTGCACGCGAGGCCTATAGCTTCTCGGCATCCAAACATGGGCTTTGCATCACTCTGCATGCATTGGTGGATTAGGCTAGCTCTGTGACCCAAATCGAATGCTATCCATCGCGACGTCGCCTTAACTGCCCCAAATTGCCCCTCTTTGGCGGTTGAGCAGTATGTTACCAGGCCTGTCAACCTTGAGGCCAGTGAGCCAGAACGCGCCACGATGCACGGCCATGCTACCTCCGTTGTACACTGAACGGCTTTCTCCGAATACCCTTCGAGTCGAGATGCCTGGCTGGAAAGCCGTCTAACTTAGTCTAACCACCCTCCCCCCCCCAGGAGTCGGGCGACCGTGCAGTCATAGCCTCTGCAGATTGCGGTTTGCTCGTGGCGGCACCGTCAATGCTGTGGCTACGTTGAAAACCTACGACGTGACGAGTATCCGCTTCGACTGGGCAGCTGTGCACTTTCGCCGGCGACTACTGTTCTAGCCCGTCCAGCTCGCCAGCTAAGTGGCGACCAGTGCAACGCGGGCTCCACCAATGCTGGTTTGCAGCACCCCTTCTCAATCTCCGGCCTGGTTGATGCGCATCCACGTACAAGGCCTTGGGAAGGTCAGGACACAGGACCATGATCAGGCACCGAAGGTTTCCCAGATTCCGAAGTCCGACTTGCTGCCGGCCTTTGCAGGATCGGCACAGATGTCAAATCGAGGATCGGTGTACTTTGTGCCCTCCTTGTTACCTCAAAGATCTGATACAGAAAACCGGACACAGAGTCAGTTCAAACTGTGATGCATAAGGCAATGGCATTTCTCCACAATGGCCTGGACGCTCGTCACGCAATTCTCCCGATTGCCCTGGCAAGGGCGAGCCACCTTCGCAAAACGGCTGCGAGTCTTCGGGTTCTTTCTCGCCTGTCGTCCGGCATGGCTGGGCAGCAGGGGCGGCTGAATGTTGGCTTCCTTAACCTGCTAGGATGCGCACATAAAGGCACCGGACCACGACATGGTACAGTAGCTGTCAGTCCTGTCGTGTTCCACACCTGCAAACCTGCTGAATGCCCACCTGCCTTTGCGACAAGGTCGTCTGGTCGCGAACGCAGCCGTTCGATCGCCTTCCTGCCGGCCTGTGACAGAACGACCTCACGGCAGCACCGATTCACTGCTCTTATAGGCTGCCAAGTCAGTTGACATAGGGCGTGAAATCCCAATCGCATAGCACAGGTATTGACAAATCCAGAGCCACAGCAAAAAAACAGTCAATGTTGCCCGGGTACCCCACTGTTCCATCGTCAACCTGACCAATCGCTGGCACTGCAGCACGCTTCGTAGCAAAAAATCTCCAAAAGTGTATCTTTGCTTCGGACCACTTCCCAGCAGCTTTCGGCAGGCTTTCGCTTCTGAAAGATGCCCCAAAGCACCTCTGACTGTACAAGCCTAGGCTCTCGCTCTCGGCCTGATGAACCTCGCAAGCGAACCTGCGAAACGGCAACAGCCAGTGCGCTGTCTGTGGCGTGATCAAGGTAGCCTCAGGAGCCGATCTGCAGAGCAAGCACCGGCACATGCACATGGCCCTTGCCCTAAGCAGTCCCAGATCCTGGCTTTCACCGTTCGCCTCAAGGCATGGCAGCTGATGCTTCTGCTCAACCATGCCGTCAGCTTCAGAACTGGTCTGCTGTGGCAGAAGGGCCGAAGTTTTTCGATCTCTCGAGTGACCTAATGCCAGCCATTTACGGCTCGCACGGGGTCCTCTCAAGCCAGCTTCTCAGTGGACTTTGCCACGGCCAGCCCATGCTCCTTCCGTGCAGGCCTGAAAGGACTTGCACTTTGAAGTGGACAAAGTGAACTGCTTCAAGGAATCCAACCACTCGCGACGAAGTGTCTGCACTGTCCGCACCCCACTCTTGAACGGGAAGTTTGCAAGCGAAACTCAGTATCCCAAGCCTCATGTGCACGACCAAGGTCAGTCTAGCAACTCACATCATTGCGCACTTGTCGCCGCCCTCCAATTTCTTTTTGCGAGCCTTAGAAGCTGCAGGCTACTTGAGAAAAGTACCACTACGCACATGGGTTGCAACCAGCAAGCTTCGATCTGCGTGGTCAGGGTGCTGGTCGCCCAGTTAGATGTCCTTGGCATGTTTATAGACATGCCGCCGCTCGCAGGGTGTGCTGAGGCGAATCACAATGAAAAGGAAACTTGAGACTTGGCGCTGCAACTGCTACCTGTATCTTGCCAAGCATCTCCTCGATGCACTCTTCAAGCAGATCCGCAAACAGCTCCTTGGCATGCACGCACCTTTTTGTCTCAAGACACACTTTTGAAAAGGGCAAAGCAAGCCGTGAAACGCAATGTCCTGAAGATGGCTCAGGTTCACAGACTGCACGCAATAAAGGCATCATTCGTGAGAACCACTGCAGGCCAATGCCAAAGCGTCCCGTACGCCAGTGTAGTCTGTGACGGATATCTGTCGGATCAGCTTCTCCGACTCCTGCCTCGGAATGAGCATGGAGCACCCAGATGCCTACATCATTGCTCATAGGGCTCAAAAAAGACATACAATATACAATATATAATAGATACTTTTTGATACGTGATATATAACATATATTATAATAATATAATGTATTGGTATTGTTGAAAAAGACACTTAGAGGATATTTATTTTCTATGCAAGTCGCCCCAGCTCGTAGCAGAGCTCCGTCCTTGTCTCAACTCTCTCGTTAGCCAAGCTAGTGGTAGAACAGAGTAAACACGAAACCAAAACAGAGCTGCTTCCAAGTTCAGAAAGGAGTCGCCGCAGCGAGGTTTGCCTCCAGCAAGCGGGCTGTCTTTGAAGCCACTGGGATCATTCAGCTAAGCCAGGATAATCGAAAGCAGCAAAGGGTCCTTGATGTCCTCTGCCTGCTCGTGCATATCGATCTTGTTGGCAACAAACCGGATCGGAAAACCTTGTACCCACTCGGATGTTACAGAATCCAGAGGATCGCGGAAAGCTCAACATGCAAGCGGCTTTTTTCTGGCTTCTCGGCCCCCTCGGCGATGAGAGGATGGGCCTCGCAAGAAGGATGGGGCAGTCTTCGCTTCTCAAACAACATCGTTTGTTGCTCGGCCCCGTTTCAGCCGTCAACCCCAGACCGGCCCGGCGAGACATAACCCTCTACAAAACCCTAAGCCCATGCCCCTGCAGCTGGATAGTGTGGACAAATTAGATGGCGTGCAAACGCGAAGCTGTACCTTGCATCGAGAACGAGAAAAAAAACACCTCCGAGTATCGGGCCGACAAATATGCCTTCACTGCCTCAAAGGAAGAGGCGGAGGTCGCATCGAAGAGGACGATAAAACCTGTGCATGCGGAGAAGCACAAAGGCTGAGAAGTTTCCATTGTCAAAGCCGCGTGGCCCATGCGACTTTTGGCGAGCAGAGGGGGCTCTGCAGACTCAACCTGACACAGGGGGCGAATCTCTCACTACTCAGACTTACCCGCAACTCGCCCCCTGCTGTCAGTGCCCCAGCACCGATTGACAGTCTGCTGCCTCAAAGTTGTGCATTGGGTGCCTTTCGCACGCTTGGCAGCACAAGTTCTTCATAGGCAACACATATTACGCTTTGCGACTATGGCTTCACAAAACACTTGCAGCGGAGCCACTTGTAGGACTCCATCATTCCTTCAGAGGCCCCCGTGGCTTTGCAGAACCTTGCGGCACGTGTTCCCACTCTTACTCTAGGGTCGATCACCCTCGTTTGCCGCACTTCATGTGCGCGCAATGCTGGAAAAGCATGGCAGGGCCGATACTTTCTTACATTCGCATGCTTCAACATGGCGTCTCCGTCATGATGATATGGTAGCATGGACGTTATCATGGTTTGGGAATGGATGCACTGGCCACTGGATGGGCTGGTAGCATGGACGTTATCATGGTTTGGGCATGGATGCACTGGCCGCTGGATGGGCTGGTAGCATGGACGTTATCATGGTTTGGGCATGGATACAGACCTGAGCGACAGAGAGATTGCGGCAAAGGAGATTGATGGATCCTTACTCCAAGACAATCCAGGGGAGAGGTCCAGCAACTACAAGTCCTAGTACTCACGAACACGACACTGCCAGCCCCATTTTTACAGCAACAACTAATCGACTAATACCACAATAAGTCAATGCAGGTGGGTCACTTCTTGTACTGCTCAATTGGAAGGTTGCCGGTGTCGTCCTTCCGACAGTGGAGCCGAACTTGACGACTTGAGCAATGCTTGGGCGAAACCATGTGAAACCTTTTGAAGGTGGACGGCCTGCCTGAAGCACGCAGTCCGTCACTTCTATCAGAGCCGTGAAATCGTCACCTGCGTGACATCTCGAAAACGAAATCGAGCCTGTGTGCCTAAAATGCCTTCGTGGAGCGGGTTCGGGAGCAGAATAGATCTGTAGTACGATGTCCTTTGGTCCGTGTGGTTTCACAACGAACAGGCACAGCTCACATAGCAGTGCATGTCTGCATGAGTTCAGAAAGGCTTCGTCTTCTCGGTTGGAGTGGCCACCTTGAAGAAAGGCTTGTTCTCTGCTAGGTCGGCTTAGTCATGCAAAACGGACGATCGATAGACCGATAGCTCTTGTCCTCCCTTGCCACCAGGACCAATGCGCCCAAGGCTGCCAAGTTTCCGATGGAACGTAGTTGTTTACCCAGGAGTTGACAAGGCCTCAGCTTCATCCGACAACCAAAACCACCCCCCCAGGCGGTATTCTCCCGACGCGACGCTGAGGAAATCTCCCGTCTTTGCCAGAGAGTGGACACCACTCGCGTCTCCGCACAGCATGCATTCATCGAGACATGTCCCCCAATGACTACCGGACCGGTGCCAGCAGCCTCAAGCTATTCATTGCAAAAAATGGAGATGGCTTAGGCCCACGACAGGTCTTGCCACTGCCCGGCGGACCAAGGACAGCAATGTGCAGAATCGGTATCACACTTTCAGGGATGTCGGCCATGGCATGAAGAGGCTCCAGCAAGTATCCCTATCGTATCACTTGCTCACGGCCATCAGCGCCAGCGCTTCAAGCGTATGTGGCCTTGAGATCCCGAGAAGATTTAGCATGCATGACTTGCTCAGGCTTCAAGTTGGCGTGCGAAGCCATTGTCAGCAGACCCTGAGCCAAGAAGCCGCACTAACTCCAACTTGCGATGGCAGTGCGGCAGAGCGGGTGCCAAAGCTCGCTGGAAACTTCTGGTGAATGAGGCTCACGCGAGCTTCTGCCGGGCCATCTCCAGCATGTCTTGCACATGTTCTAGGGAATCATGGTCCTGCACCATGGTGCAATCACAGCCTGTGCCGTGAGGACTGTAGAGCGAAACACCTCACCTGCCAGCACAAGACATCTTCACAAAGCCCCCTCCCGAACAACATCTAGGATCGTTGTCCGACTGCTTGATGCCGTGCTCGTCCAGGAAAGCAGCGAGAGGCACCTTTTCACCTGCTCGGTCTTCCTATCAGAGTGCTCCAATGCATCTAGCCTCTTTCAGTTTCTGTCTCTGACACCACCATGAGGAAGCTGAGACTCGTCGGATTCGTTGCTTCGCCAGACCGTGAGGAGTGCGCCATTCTGGGGAACAGCAGATGCCTCCACCCGAGACCTTTCTCCCCGTAGCATAACTGCCAGCCCCCCAATCTGCCCCAAATCACGCTGAATCATGCTTGCTTGCACCACAACCTGTAGCGAAATCATTGCAAACAGCCGCGTGCCTGTTGCATTTGCAAACTGGTGATGAGAGGTGCGTCTTTCTCTGCTTTTCGCACTTTCTGTCCCGAGATTTCTTGTGTGCAGCACCGTTGTTCGTCGACCTCGAGAAATGTTCAGATTATTCCCGAATGGGTGGCGAAGTGTTTTCCGTGGGTGGCATGATGTCATGATGTTGATGTGAGGTATCGTAGGGTTCTCTCCTAGGTTGTCGTGAGGCTGCATGGCATGATGAAGCTTTGGAGCAGTTGTCCCAGAAGCTGTCGTGGGTTATCTAGCAGAAGGGTCTATAAAGTGTTCCAAAGAGGGGTTTACGGAAGGATGGATAGAAAGATTTACAAAAGTGCTACATGAACGGATGGAAGGATGGATGGATGGATGGTGGCTGGCTGGCTGGTTGGCTGGATGGATGGCTGGCTGGCCGGCTGGATGGATGGCTGGCTGGCTGGNNGGATGGATGGATGATGGATAGATGGAGTGTTGCTGGCGCACGTTGAAGCTGAAAGTGGCACCCGGAAATTCGGACCGTGACATAAGCTTGGTATTGAAGTGTTCACGATAAGACGGCCTTGCAGAATGCCAAGCAAGCATACAACCGAGCCGTCATGATGCTTTGTTCAAGGCTCCCAAGGGCTGGATGTGGGAAGTCAGCAAGAGTCAGCAAGAGCAGTCTCTAGAGCCTCCGAAGCCGAAACGCCCCGCAATGGCATAGGCTGGACCCCGCAAGAAGCTTCAGAGCCGCTCCTCCCAAACTAGCTAAGCTGCGACATTCACCCTAAAGAAGCTGGGTTTTCAGGCGGTGCCTCACC